TATATATATATATATATATATATATATATATATATATATATAACAAATGAATTGGTTGGTACGGTATTACCATGATATTTTAACTTTTATACCATTACCGTACCAACATCGCTCAATTGGTACGGTACTACCAACCAAACATGTTGGCTACCAACTATATTGGCTATCAATTTTTTTGGTTCGGTTGGTAACATGTTGGTTGGTTGTTCATGGTACAATTTTGTCAGCCTTACTTATAATTCGATCTTATATATGCATGACTACACATTCACCAAACATATAATATAGAGTACAAACGATAAACCCTTTAAGTCATGAATTCTAGTGTGGATTGTAGCTGACGATCAGTGTGCATTGAACCTATATGCTTCAGCTCCCAGTGTGCATGAATCGTTCTCATATTACTTGTAATGTACGTCAATCGATTAGCATTTTCATGTTTGATTTATCAGTAACGAGTTGTGTATTGTAACTGATAATTTGCATATCATATTATTTTTCGTGGTTTCAAACATGCATCTTGGAGTCCACTTTATTTTCGCTGTTAATTAATGGCCTAACTACTTGAAAAATCAAGGTTGGGGGGTGATCCAGCAATAAGAGATAAGCAAGAATTTCATTGAAACAAAGACGTGGGTAGGTTTATTTTACGTATTTAATTAATAAAATATAATACTAATGTTATACTTCATGTCTATGTGGTTAGTAATGGCGGTTTATAATGTCTTCACGGGATGTTTAGATCTAGCCATACACGTCAAGTTGTTGAATAAGGCATTCTTTTTCTCTAGCTGCATAGAGAGATTACCATTAAGGAAAATGACTGCTTCACATGACTTCTATCCCTATAAAGATGCCCAACACACAAAAATAAAGGGAGGGGGAGACAGATCACAAGTATAATGATGGTGGGAAATAAAAAGATGTTTTCTGGTTCTTCAGATAACTTTTGTGGAGAAAGGCAAAACCAAATTGTTTATATTATATTCATGAATGGATTTCTTCATTGAAGCTTTAATTTTATGGTACTAGATGTTAATTAAAAAGATCACGAATTGTAATCGTTTTTTTATGTATTTTCTTATAAGAAAAACCCTACATTTCTCTATCAATGCTCAATTTATAAAATGTCTTCCGTAGGCCATTGGTTGGGGCCGTTAGTTTCGTACGTGTAGTTTTATAAATAAATATTTTGTCTATATACTAAGAAATAGAGACAAGATTCTTCAATTTCATCAAAAATAAATACTTCTATTACAAGATATAGAACTTAACAAAACCAAAAAATTAACACCTACACGAAGAAATTATCTATATAAAACATTTTCTTTTGCAAATTTAATTACTAAGGTAAAACTTAAAGGATCTCTTCTAAAATCAATCATTTTTGACCGGTTACATTAAATGTTGACAAAACTACAAATTTGGTCGTTGTGGTTTCTAAAAAACTTTGGATAGGGTTCAAAAAGTTTTCGACTTGCATGGAAGGTCCAAAATCAAAACTTTTCCGTGGTTTTGGTCCCAAAATTAGAAGATTCTCGTGGTTTTGGTCCTTGGAAAATCTGAAATGACGGTTTCGCCCTTTTAATTTCTTTTTTGTATTTTTTGTATTTATTTTAATACTTTTTATTTTAAAAAATAAAAATAACATCCCATCTCCTTTCTCTCTCTCTCTCTCTCTCTCTATCTCTCTCTCTCTCTCTCTCTGTCTCTCGCTCTCTCTCTCTCTCACACACACACACGACTTTTTCTCCCAACACAATACTCAAATCTTCTTCTCAGTCTCATCTTCTTCACCACCACCGTCATCTGTAAATCGTCCTCCTCAACCACCCAATCGACATTTCATAATCACCCACATATCAAGCTACCTTCGACTGTATCCTTCACAAGGTCTGAGGCCATAAATGGAAACTCAATCTCCATGATTTCCCCGTCAACAACCCCAATGAAACCATCATCGACCCTCTGTATGAGTTCCTACAACGGTGGAATAAACCCAGATCTTGGAATGACTTATCACCTACACATTCATGCTCCGTTCATGAGTTTCTAATTCCACTAACTTACGTGTACCAGACTAAAGATATCTGTTTTGATTTTGTGTTTCAGATTTATTCATTGCCTCCACCGACGACAACAATGTCGTGTACTGCTAAACCGTTGGCAGCTCCGCCTAGGGCCACCGTATCATCTCCGATTGGCTTCCTTTCTAATAATCTGCTCCGATGCACCTTTCCATCAACCTATCGTCGGCATCCCCTTTGCTCAACCTCCTGATGATTGATCCAAACAAAGATCAATTTTAAGAAATCGATATGGTTAGCAATTGAGGAGTAGTGATGCAGAAATGGTGTTAGCCCTTTCTTAATCCCATCGTCTTCGTCTTTCTGTTATCGTTATCACACACATAGATACACACACAATGTGTGTGTGTGAGTTCCCTCCTATTGTTCAATCATAGAGTAAGCCCAAGATGGGTGCTTATGTTTTTTTTATCAATTATTGTTCTTCCAGTTTCTTGATGACAATGGTGAATGGGTGGGACTCGTCGAAGGTGTCGAAGGTGGGTTAGAAGAATGAGGAGACGAAATAGATAGAAAGGGGGGAGAAAAGGGAGGGTACGGTGGATGTGGTGGGTGTGATATATAATCCTTTTTATTTTATTATTATTTTAAAATTAAAATAGTGTTAAAGTAAATATAGAAAATATAAAATGGAAATTAAAAGGGCATAACAATCTTTTTAGGTTTTTTAGGACCAAATTCATAGAAAAGTCCTAATTTTGGACCTTCCATGCAAGTTGGAAACTTTTTGGACCCTATCCAAAGTTTTTACAAACCACAAGGACCAAAATTGCAGTTTTGTCTTAAATGTTGGACAAAACTTGAGAAATCGTTCATGTGGTTTGCCGATTTCTTTGGATAATATCTAAAAATAATTTCCTTGCAAAAAATGTTTTTATTTGGTGTTTGAGTTGTGTATATCGTCACTGCTTCTAAATATCGTTAGAGGCACCCACATGTCATGCACGCGAGGGCAACTTTGTCTTTTCTTTTATGGGGCCAATGCTTATATATGTTGAAGTGTGTTAGGATTGATTACAAATACAAATGATTAAGACAATCAAAGCTGTAAATGAACACATGATGTAAATAATGTATGTTTGGCTTAATTTCGTCTCAATGAGTACAAGAGTGAATAAGAGTACAAGAGAGAATTCAGCTAGTGTTCGAACGTTACTCTACTCTATGCACTTACCCTATTGATAGGGTACATCAGATTCACAAAAATTTACAAGGACTAAACATCAAAGTGTCGAAATAACAATGCCTTGTAAAATAGATAGAGTGTCGAAGTCATACAGCATTCGACACCTTACAGACTCAAAGTACATTCGGCTCCTCACTATAGACATTCGACCACAACAATCTTCCCGTTAGTGAGAGTAGTCGAAAGTTAAGCAATCAGCTTTAAAGTTTGTAGAAGTTCTCTTCGAATCTCCATATACCACAAAATGGTTTTTCGAATCTCAGCTTTGTCTTCACTATCATTCTTCTTGCAATTGTTGATACGAATAAGGAGATTAGTATACAAATAGTTTGTGTACTTCTCAAGATCACTAATTTGAAACAAAAACTTTGGCATTCACCCTTTCTTGTTCTTTCCAAGAAACACAACACCAAGAGTTTGATGAATAATTTCACCATCTTCATAATCATCAATATTTAGCTTTCCCCTTAACAAAGATTAAGGGACTTTTGATGGCTTCTTAACAGCTGTAGCAAGATCAATATCTGTGATCGCCAAGTAGTCATAGTAGTTGTCAAGAAAGACTTTGCTATGAGCAAAACCAATAGCAAAATCATCCTTATTGGTCTCTGTTATCTTCGACACATCAACAGATCTCAAAATCTTCGTGATTGTGATCAAATCATTCAAGTTCATCAATGGAAAATCTATTATTGTGAACTCAAAAACAACGTTATTTTCTTTTACAACGACATAACAAAAGTTTAGTAATAGACCTGCGAACACGCTATCACGAACAATGATCATCACTTTTACTACCTTCACTGGAGACCACACCTCTTCTTCATTCTTCCCTAAGATTGCGTGAAAGCGAATCTTCAACTTTCTAAATTCTTCCTTATCTTTGAATTTTTCTATAATCTTGAATTGTGAAAAAGTGAACAACATATGATTGATCGGAAAGTCAAGCTGATTAAAATCATAATTCTCTACGTCGTAGCTCTTCTTTGGCATTTTTCGAAAACAATCATTCAATCCAATAGAAACAACATCTTCTATTGTTTCATAACACCACTGCTTTTTGGGATCACCCTTCTTCAAGCCAGGTGGGTTATTTTCTCTTCGCCTTAGTATGCTATTTATCTGCCTTTTTTTTCGATTTTGATGGCTTGTTGCTTTTTCTTCTCTTCTTCTGATAGAACAACTGAGATTGATTTCCCTTTATCATTTGGATCAACATTCGGAGTTAATTTGTTAGGGAATGAACTCGAAACTATTGCTCCTTCATTTATCGAGATTCCTTTTGTCAAAGTTCTCGTTGTTGTTGATGTTGTTGATGTTAAGGTTATGGGCTTCATTGAAATAGTTGTTGTGATTTGAGTATTTATCACCTTTCCCACAACAACTCTAGAATTATCACCCGTATCTTTCGATGAACCAACACCTCCTTCCCCTTTTTCTCCCCCTTGTGACCCTTGCATAATATGACGAGCATTTGTTGGAAGTTGAAGAACTAACCTCCTGGTCGGATCCAATTCAACCTTAATGTTTGTCATGATATTAGAAACCATTTGAGAAATAGATTCTGGAGAAATCGTCGATTGTGCCGAAAGCATGGTTTTGATTTCGGTTAAGAACTCTTCAACTCTAGAAAATACTAGAGCATCCCCTTTCATCTTGTCTTGAAGACCAATCGTGTAATCTTTGTTGAATGAAGTGATGTCTTCAATCGAGCGGACTAACGCTTCAGCTACCACATCCATCATCTTATGTAGTGTAGAAGAACTTTCAGCAAAATTTTTAACTTCAGATTTCAACATCGTTCGAATATCAGCAATCTGAGTCTGTAAATAAACTTTCGTTTCCTCAAGTTGTTTTGCAAAAAGCTCATGACATTCTTTTGAAACATCATGAAGCTTAGAAACTTCACCCGTAAGATTGCGAAAATGATTGAGAATCCGTTCATCGTTTCGCTTGTCAACATCATCTATAGAGATTGCAATTGAGACTCTTAGGCTTTAAGAAGAGAATCAACTTCGATGCTACTCAAGGAATTCTTGCTTTCTGTATCAGCCAAGAACTGTAATATCGAATTCATATTGGAATTCAATATTTTGAATTGTTTCCTGACATGATCATTTTATCAGGAATATTCTCCTCCTCTGGATCAAACTGAAGCTCAACAAATGACACCATGACATCTTCATCATCAACTTCATTTTCATATTGGGACTTTTTAGTGGATTGAGATTAAAAGAGAGTGGCAATAGGTTCTTGCACGATACCAAACAATGTTGGTGATGTAGTCGAAACTGGAACGGAAGTAGAAATGGGTGATGAAGGTGGTGGTAAAGTTGTTGAAGTTGCGACTGTAGATGTGATAGTAGATTCATTGTTGTGCATCCCTTCATCCATGTTGACATTTGTGCCCTTATTAGATAAGTCCACAGTGATGTCTGGAGTTTTGACCTCCTCCTGACCGGACTGGGCATGCGAAACTCCATATGGTTTGACAATTGTCTTCTTAAGGATATTGGTGTTTTGTTGATCACTTGAATTGATTTTTGTATCTGTATTAGATACATTTACATTGACATCAGGATTCCCTATCTCCTCGAAATTTGACTTGTTAGGAGAATCCCTTCGAGGTGAACCAATATACGAATCCTCGATTCGAATATCTGACCTGTCACTGTCACTGTCATGCTTAGTTTCGAATGTCACGTTCTCAAGTGGAACTTGAACTTCATGTTTCTTCTTGTTCAACTTTTGAGCCATATCAATAGCTCGATGCTTTTTGGAGGTTGGTGATCCTGGAACCGTTACTTCACGAAATAGAACACCCCTCCTGGTAAATTGTGCTTTTCGAACCTTCTTTGGATCACCTTGAGAAGAAATAGGATTTGAAGATTCAACATCCTTGGGCTCAACACTTTCTACTACAAGTTCTTGTGAATTTGTCTTGACTGGAGATTCATAAGGCTTCTTTGCTAGTTTCTTCGTTCTTTTAAGAACCCCATTTTTCGTGGGTATTGTTTATTTGACAATTTCCTCCTCCACTGATTGTGGTTTGACAATTGGTTTCTTCTTCCTTGAAACCTTTAAAGCTTTAGATGTTCCTTCTACCCCCTTTTGTGGAAGAACCCCAGTTGAATGAGAAGTATCAATAGAAACCAAGTATTTCACTAGCAATTGATTTTTGGGACCACAAGCTTGAGCATCGAATCTGAAATTCGAGCAACATTTGGAAAAACATTATAATAATCCAAAAAAACCTTTAGAGCAGCCATTTTCAGAAACTCATCAGTTTCGCCATCAGATGGAACAAGAATATTCTCTTGACTATAAACCTCCTATAAAATTAAGCTCCAAAATCGAGCACTCGAAACACCATTTGTTTGATTTGTGCGTGAGATTGTGGTTCCAAACTCTTTCAAAAGATGTGAAGTATAATCCACATTCAAACCATAATACAATCCTGCTATGACTGAATATACTTCAAGCTAAGCTTTGTTGAGCCCAGAGCTTCTTCCTGTTAAACATCGTAGTACAATTCCAAAAAAAGCTCCAAATATAGGGAAGACTACACTTCTTAGAATGACTTATTCCAGTGAAAGTTGGTTTATTCCCCATTTCATTAAACATATGAACCACCTGATCATTCTTGACTTCATAGAATGTACCTAAAATTGGTAACTTCAGAATTTGGGCAAATTGCTTCCGAGTGAGCTTCTTGGTCATTGAATTCGAGAGCTGAAACGTAACCACCTTAGTAGTTTTGTTGAATATTGTAGTTGAAGAAGAATTTGAAAGCCATCAAAATTGCAAACGAGGAGGAAAGTGCAGTCGATAATACAGAGCTGTTCAAAGTTTGAACAAGCATCTGTAATGCCTCTGGATATGGATAAAGTGATGGAACCAGATGAAGATTATTTGTTTGAATCTTCATCATCGGTTGCGAGACTTCTTCATCATTAGTGGTTGTTGGATTAGCATTGTGTTGAGAAGCATCCATTGCAGAGAATTTTGGAGAAATTTAGAAACGATGAATAGTTAGGGTTCTTGGACGTTTGATCAGAGAGCATAAAGTTTGATAAGGAAATTGTCATCTTCCTTTTATAATCGGTGGTATTTTTGAATTTGAACCGATATCCAATAAGACAATGCCATGTATTGTGTTGTTTACTTAACCGACACCGTAAAAAGCTCCAAGTCATAAAATTGATCATCACGTTCTCCTTGATTCCCATGAAAATCCTGAACCGTCACGTCCGTCGGATCTTTCGTTGTTCCCAATTGGATAAGAACTGTCACAAGTTTCATTCATCAAACAAGTACGCCATGTAATTCGACACCAAGGTAAAATCAATCCTTCGACATGGAGGCTGCGCTCATTCGCTTTTGGGATTTGAAAGCAAAATCATATGCCAGACTTTGCAAAATCTAAGTTTCGAGTTGGTAATACCTAAAACCTCAAGGATTTTAATGCGTTTTTTTGTGCCAAAGAATGAGATAGAAGCAAATAAAACAGAATGTGGATTTTATGATATCAAAATTTATTTGATACGAAAGCAAAATGATCTCGGGCAAAGATCTCTTCATTCGACATCAAGAGAGATGAAGAATTACTTGTGTGGTATCTCGTGAATTACAATCGAATACTCGTTGATAAGCATCGAAGGGCTTTTTTTGCTTTGGTTTCGAAGGCGACTTCAATTTTGCATCAAGTCACAACTTGACATAAGTGTGATTTAATTGAGCAAAATTACTTAAGATGACAAAATTTTAATAAAATTAATATAGTGCATAACATCAATAGGTTGGCTTCCTTTGCCTAATAGCTGCATTTTTTACTAAAGAGTCCTTCCGCATCTTGATACTTGTCTGATTCTCTTATGATTTCATCCTCAATTTGAATACTTGGAGACAACCTTTCAGTGCAGAATGTAACCCTATCATGACCTCTTCATAACCTAAAATCCTCTATACCTCTTCACAACCTAAAATCCTTTATACATCATCATTAAAAATGGATGGGTTTAAGTAGTGGCCCGGGAAATACAAAGGTTGGTGGAATTGATATTGCCACCTATGATAAATGATTTCAAAAAAATTCTTGTAAATCTCCTCTTGATTAGGAAAGATTTTGCAATAGCCTGTTTAGCCCTATCCATGGCTTTATAGATGTAACCCATGGTCGGTTTTCTTTCCCCATCAACTAACCTAAGAACACTAACAAGAGGACCTGTCAAATTGAGAGTATACACGATATTCCTCTAAAATGTCTCTTGATAGAATTATTTATGCATCAACCTTCCTTTCGCTTCCGTTGACCGCTTGCTATTCACCCATTCTGCAGAAGTCACTATCTTTCTCAAGTTAGTCTTTTGCTTGTGAAAATGAAGAAGATTGATATAAGATGTAACAAATCTTGTAATTGCAGGCCTATGCAAATTCATTTGATTTGCGAACTTATGCATCAAATTCACTAGACCAACATAATTATATATAAAACTATTTACAACCTTTGCCTTTTTTAAACAACTTTCCACCCAGGGAATTTGTTTCCCAATATCCTCCAACATACGATCTATGCAATGGGCGAGACATGGAGTCCAATAAAGATGTTTTCTAGTAGCGTCTAACATTTTCCCTACAAATTTAATATATATATATATATATATATATATATATATATATATATATATATATATATATATATATATATATCCTAAGATAAGAAAACAAAAAAATATTAAAAGACTAAAACACTAACTCTTACTCGCTTTAACACAATCTAATGCGCTATCGGTTATCACTTGGACTACATTTTCTTCTCCAACTTCATCCACCATTTTGTCAAGAACCCCCAAAAAAATATTTGCATCCTTGGAGACATCTGATGCATCCATAGACTTCATAAATACAGAACCCTTTGGGGAGTTCACCATAAAGTTGATTATGTCTTTTTGTACAACAAAATCTCTCCATCCATCCGACAAAATAGAGCAACCTTTTTGTGCCTAATCTTCTTTGTATTCTTTTACTTGATCTTTAATAGTTTTTACTTCTTTGTTTAGCAAAGGGGCTATTAATTCATATATGCTTGGTGGTTTCACTCATGGGCCAAATTGGCCAATAGGCTCGATCATTATATAAAAGTTATCCTAAGTGGCGGCTTTAAAAGGAATGTTTGCATCATAAACCCACATTGCTATCTCCGTACAAGCTTTCTCGCTTAACTCCTTTCGAATTTCCATATTTATAGTTTGTTGTACTTTTCCATCATTTCTACCTTTGACCATATCTTCGGGGTTAGGAGTAAAGAACTTATCCATTGGACCTTTTTGTCTTGGTCTCTTTCGTTGAATCTTACCAGTAGCAGCTTCAACTTCTACGCAATCATCATCTTAGCCCAATTCATAATCCTCAAAATCTATCCTTGGTGCATTTTATTCTTCAAAATTTTCTTCCCTTTTTTAGCATATATGCCCTTGTTTCTTCCTTTTTGTGTTTCAGACATTATGTGCAATCCATAATAGATGAACACCTTCCAATAAAATGACATTTCAAACGATATACCCCACCCTTGTATATATTACAGAAAAATTACAAGTAAATTTGTTCCTAATATAGGGATCTTGAGTTCCGTACTTTCTAGTCGGATCATCAGAATTATTGATGATGTTGAAACACAAGTACTTGCTGATGAACTAAAAGAAGTAAACAAAAACAACCATAAAACCCAAAAATAAGCAACAACAATTATAAGAATCTGCAAGACAACACTTTCAAATAGAAAACAACACGAAACTTCAAAATCAGTTATAAGAAAGCAACATAAAAAACATCAAACATCAATAATCTGCACAAATTATAAGAAAACAGAAAACAAACTCAGAAAAAAAACAACACTAAAAAATTACTCACTTTAGAATCGACATCAGGTGATCAGGGGATTGGACAGCAACTCCAAAATCGATTTTTGATGAGTATACTTCACTAGTTTATCAGGATAGGAGAATCGATTTTAAAATTGAGGATCGAACTTCATACTTCATCGATTTAAAACAGAGGAATCAATAATTTTTCAGACATGAGATGAGAAAATAGCAATGTGTAGTGTACCAGTGTGGAGACACATAGAAAATGAAAGACTACTTGAGGATTTAGGTTTACTTGTAAAAGGGACCACTATAATTATCTATTAAAATCCAAATTGCTTATAAAAAAACCCAATACAGGTCATCAGATGAAAAATACGCACATGTCATGCTTCTGTACGCATCAGGCATCACGAATCCATCAATGTGCATCAAGGTAAACGCAACGCATCACCTAAGTCATGTGTTTTCTAAAACGTCTTAGGCCACCTCATGTATTACAATGCCTCAGGCACGCGTTTTAAAATCAAGATTCCTGGTATGTAATTTATTGTAGTTTTCTTTTGCCTTTTCGCTAAAATTTGAAAATTGAGAATCTGGATTTAGTCGTAAAAGACGTGGGCGTCTTTTATAGGGTGCAACGCACCCCGAACCATGGGATAAATATATTTTTAAGGTTTTGGGGGCTATTTAAGCATCAATAACCCCTAGGGTTAGCTCATTCTTAGCCTCCATCATCTCTAGAGTGAACTTTAGAAACCCTAAGCCTGTCTCTCATTTTTTAGCTTAGAATCCCTTCTTGGAATTTATTTGTTATTGTTTTGAGTGAAGCTTAAAGTTCAACGTGTTTATTTTTTGGCATTGAAGGAAGGCTCAAGTGTATATCCAACAAGGTTGCATCATTTCTGGTGTTTTGTGAGTAAAAAGATTCAAACTTTCTCTTCGTTTCATTAGATTTTGATATATGCCTTGTTATGCACTTTTTGGTCCATTTTGTTGGTGAACATGGAGTTGAGAGGAATCGAACACCTTTTGAGAAATTTGGAATGCTTCTTGGACCTCATGGACTAGGAAAGTTAGGACCCTTTGCCTTTCCATTAAGCCATGCAAGTTATCTTGGTCCTTTAGGTCATTTTGATACATTAAAGTTTAGATCTTTAATGTTTGAGAGGTCTTAATGGATAAAGTTGGAAACATTGTCCATTAATACCTTGTTAAGGACCAGATATGTAAGTTTGAGCTTTGACTTAATGGATTAAGTCAAGTTTCCCTTATGATTATGGCATGGACGCGACGCATCTTTCCCAAGCGTGACCCGTCTTATGAAGTTTTATGATGCACATTTGTTTTAGACTAGAAGCCCAACTATTTTTTCTAGTAGTGGGCGCGTGACATCCCTTATAGGGCACGGGGCACCTATTTGACCAAATATTGACATTTTGACTTTTGACTAAGTTTGACATTGGGTTAAACTTTAGGGTTCCGAGTCATAGGCTGAGGTTTGGCCTTTGATTTAATGTTTTGGTGCTTTGTGAGGATAACTTTTCCTTCTTCCTTCTAGCTGTGGTGTTTATATGTTTCATCTGTGAGCTCAGTCTTCTCACTAGATTGTAGGACACTAGGTGTTATGTTATGATAATTGTCTTTATGAGTCTTGCATGTTTATTTATATGCTTGTTGGGTTGGGCCCATTGGGCTAGGCTTGTTTATGTGTCTAATGGGCTCGGGCCGAATGTATGTAAATTGGGTTGGGCCCACATGAATGAAACATAATTGTTGGCTAGGCCCGTTTGATTGTATGTGGGTTTTTGGGGAATTCACTAAGCTTTGTGCTTACGGTTTTAAGTTTAAAATTTTCAAGTACTTCAGATATCAAAGGGAATGGCCCGACATGATCGCATCGAATCGAATCTTATGATATGAGATGTTCCGCTTATGACTTTATTACTCTAATTTTGTTATGAAATTTTTTTAATTTTTACCCTTGTAAATGAATGGAATGTTTTACTTGAATGTTAAAAATGAAAAATTTACAATATAATTTGGGATGTAACACCAATGATTAACATCGAGCGACATAAAGCTCGATTGGTCTTTCAAGGGTATTCACAAAAGGATACCAAGAAAGGTTCTCACCCGATTTCCTTAAGATCTTAAATAGCCCTTGTAGCTCATTTCAATTTAGAGCTACATCAAATACACGCCAAACAATTATTCTCAAGAATGATTTACACGAAGATGTATACATGAACAAACCAAGAGTTTTTTTAAGGGCCAAGAACATTTAGTGTACAACTCAAGAAATCATTATATAGGCTAAAACAAGCTGCATGTGAAAATTATGTAAAGTTAGACGAAGTCTAAAAAAGGATTGAATTCAGTAAGAATCAGGTAGATCAAAGTAAATACCTCAAGATGAATAGGAGTAAATTCATC